ATCGAAGGCTCTGAAACGTCGGTCGTCTGAAACGTCGGTACGGCAGCCCGTCAGGCCGCCCAGACGGTGCCGCTGGTGTCCCGGAATACCCTGCTGGACCAGAACCAGCTTGCCGGGTCGGGACGCGATACACCGCCAACCGGTCGCTCTTTCGTAGCTCCATGGCAGCGCGCTAAAGTGCTGGTAGCGCGCCGCGCGGCCTCTACCCCCTCAGGTCGCCCCCTTGACCTTCACCGGTTTTTTTCCTATAGATAACCAAGAAAACCTACTCAAAACAGAAATAACCGATAGTTTTAATATTAATAAAAATAATATAGGTATAATAAAACCGCAAACCGCCAAAAACAAATTACGCAGGCCTTTATAATATGTGCCCGCAAAAAGAGCGGGCTTTAACAATTGAAATTTCATTACCTGTTTTTCGGGGTTCCTCTTTGCAGTCTCAAATTAAAAGCCGCTCGCGAGCGCCCACGGACTCTTTTTATATTTCGGTATTTTTAGACTATATTTCGTGTATTCATGAAGCAATTACACTGAAGATAGTGAATGAATTATAAATTCATGATGTTTTTGTTTGGTTTTTGAAATAGTATAGAATCAAAATGGGAACGTTATGTTAGTCGCTTTTTTACAATAAAATGTTTTTTTCTTACACTATTTTTAATTCAAATTTATTAAAATTTATTTTCTATTTTTTAGTTAGATTTTGTATAAAAGCGTATTTTGTTAGTTTCTTTAAACTATTATTTATTTTTCATTTCTTAGTTGAATTTAAATTTTTTCAATTATTTTCTTTTAGTTTTTTTTTAACATTAAACTGTCATCGGTCCTTAATAAGTATACCAAATTTCGAGTTAATCCGACGTTTTGAAGGGGGTCAAAATCATGTTCAAAGATTCCGTTACATACTAACATACATACGTTTGAAGCTAATAAAAGCGTATTAATAAGATATGGTTTATTTATCTGTGAAAACGTGGAGTAGGCACTGACTGTGGGTACTATTGTGCCAAGGTTGAGCATTATTTTCGTACCCACGTAGATACTTCATTAAAGAGCAAATCCCTAGTCATTGTCTCGTCTTATATACGTTTGTTTTTGAGACGTTCGTTTAACAGCAATATTAATCAGAACGAATAAACTTTGTCGAATATACCCACAGTCGTGAGATTAATTTAAGTAGGTACATCATTTTTGGACAACACAGAGTAATAAGAACCATGAAATCGAAAAAGGTTCTTAATATAAATATTTTGTTTTTGAAAAATTTCAACTGGAACTCAGCAAATTCAAATATGTCTTAAATAAAATGTAAAACACGGTACAATAAGCGGTAGTATGAATATAGTAATAATTAGTGATAGTTACGAATTATTAATAGGACTTTTATCTACGACTGAACCCGAATTACATGAAAATATGAATAAAATAATAATACTTTTTGTGTAGGTTTCAAAATAAACATGGAGTGCTTCATCTCAGCATAGCGAGATTCAAATCAAGTACACAAAATATTCAATTCCAGCAGATTATTATGTTTGAAGTACAAAAATGAATTATATTTGATTCGCAAAGACGAAAAACTCACATGAAAGTAAAAATGGGGACGTACATGATGTGATATTGAATGAATAAATGAATACTAATGAAAGGATTTCACAAGGAAACGATATTATCTGAATATGACATATGCTAAAGAAATTTCGATACATGATTGTTACTGACGTAAACCGTACATGCATTAAATCAATTCACAACGAGGAAGAATTCATGAAAGTGTTATTAACTTTATGTTTGAAAATCTCTATATATAAAAATTAATTGCGGTTCGTTAGTCTCGCAAAAACTCGAGAACGGCTGGACCGATTTGGCTAATTTTGGTCTTGAATTATTTGTGGAAGTACAGAGAAGGTTTAAAAGATAGATAAATATGAAAATGCTTGGAATTAAATAAAAATAACAATTTTGTTTTCTCTTTGATGTGTCCCCCGTCGCCGCGTCGGACGGATTCCTTTTTTTTTGTTTTAAGTTTGTTTTATACAAAAGTTTAGGTCTTTTATTTATCGATTGAGGCACTACGAAGACTGCCGGGTCAGCTAGTAGTCAATAAAAATTTAATTTTATTAAACGAAATTGTATGTTATTAAAGTATCGTGGTGCAACACTCTAGAGCAAGGATGTACTACACGCGGCCCGCCAACCATTTCTTGAATTGAAATTATTGATTTTATTTGATTGAATTTATTTTATCGATTTTTCCCCATCAATTAGTTTTTCTGTTCTTTTCTTGTTTGTTTTTATCTTGCATTAAAGTTTATATATGAAATCTTTGCTTTTTTCTTTTAGTTTTTTTTTATTCCAATATTTATTGTAAATAAAGTTTCGTAAATTACGAATAAAAGATAAAATCTATGTGCGGCCTCCCAAAAAAAATTAAATTTAAATTGGCCCATTGATTAAAAATGTTGCTCACCCCTGCTCTAGGGCATACATACATAATAATATGTATATACATATGCACATACATGATTATACACTTCTCCAGTCTATTTAGACTGCAATTAATTAAATCGAAGCAAACATTTGCTGGGTCCGATTACACACATATTCGCGGCTCATCTGATGTTTAGCGGTTACTGGATGTGATGGTCACCACATCCATCGCAGTCCATCTTCAGACATAAGATTGAAACCTCAACAATTTTAAACCCTAAGCCTTTAAACAATAAAAACTTGATCGAATGATATTTTCAGAGCAAAACTAGGCAGGATGGTATTGGTGAGTAGAAATAGGCAGGATGGTGGTAGGTACCTGCGTGGGCATAAATCCAACATACGACAACAGTAGTACAGTCCACGGCAGGTTAAGACTAACACCTAGGGTTCACAAGTACCAATTTCTATATTTTTTTTACATATGTTTCTTATGAGCTAGGAACATGAAATTTTAAAAATAGTTCGGTCATGGATTAAAATGCTATGTATTTAATGAAAATAAATTAATTTTCGTTTGATTTAATTCCGTACAATACTAAAAAAGACCGTCGGCAAGAAGCTGTAATAGCACTTTAGGCTACCAGAGAATAGGTAAAGAAAAAAATACAATTTACTTTGTTTTTACGCCGGAAAAGAAAATATGTATTCAAAGGAAATTAACGAAAATCAATTATCAAAAGAACAATTGTAAAAATAATAATGAAATGAACAAATTAAAAGACGCGTATTTGAGAGGCAACTAACTCATTCATAAAAATTATGGGAATATACTATGAATTCGAATACAGCTTAGTAAATATTTTTTATTAAATTATATATTTAAATATAAAGTATTCTCAACGGTTTCTCCGAGCCGTACCGATCAGTCTTGATCAATCGTGACCATAAAAACTTTAAAATATTCTCGACGTTGGAAATAAAATAAATAAATATTTTCATCAGACGCGAGATTAAGCCTTAAAAGTAGTTTTACTTATATTTTAATATAAAGAGAGACAAATTGAATATTATAACACAAAAACGTAAATATAACATAATAATAAGACATTGCCTAATGATTTTAAACAATAACATATAAAAACTTAAAAATATTCATCGGCGAACTAACAAAATAATTAAACGAAATTAATAATAAGATTTGGTTTATGTTGAACACGATAAACTCGTGTTAAGTTTATGAGAGGGTAAACGATATTGAATTAATAGAGATCAAGAGAATAATGCGGTACGTTTCGCTTCGCTTCGTTTATTCCAAATTAGGGATCCATTATATTTATCGCGTCGACCGCAAGCCGTTTACTACTACGGAACATTTACTGGTGGCAGCGCGCCTTATAAGCCTGCACGGGTAGGGAATACTAACCTGCCTCCATGGAGTTAATAAGTACATTTTTTTTATTACTTAGATAGGTGAACTAGCTCACGGCCCACCTGGTGTTAAGTGGTTACCGGAGCTCATAGACATCTACAACGTAAATGCCGCACTCACCTTGAAACATGAGTTCTAATGTCTCAGTATAGTTACAACGGCTGCCCCACCCTTCAAACCGAAACGCATTACTACTTCACGGCAGAGATAGGCAGGGCGGTGGTACCTACCCGGGCGGACTCACAAGAGGTCCTACCACCAGTAAAATTCTTTTTATTACGAAGAGCTATCATTTAACACCCGTGATAGGAAGCCGGGTGATGGTAGGCCGCGTTCCCCCGACCACTCAGGGGAAAGGTGTAGCGCGACGCCATCAAGGCGGGCTCCCGATCCATCGCCCGAGGGAACCGGTGGTCGTGTTGACGGCGACCTGCGTCTGCGAGACGACGGGATGGATGTAATGTGCTCTGCGTCAACCCTCTCCCACCGTCTCAATAGCCCCGACTAGGCTCCGGCCCTGTCCAGGGTCGGGCGGCGACTGTGAGCGGCAGGAGCTTTTTGTGAGGTTCAACTATCACATACACCACGCGTCCGGCGGGTGGATCCGGTGATTATCTCCTGTACAAAAAAAAAGATGTATGGTGTCGTGGGACACCGGATAGGAACGATGTTCCTTATTATAAAAATATTAATTTGTATGTTCTATTCGAGGTATAAAGGAAATAAAACTGGAGGTTTCGCAACAACCCACGGTCATTCGGTAACGTGCGAACTTATTGTGGTACACTTCACTCACGGTTTTTTGCATAAGAGTTAGTGTATTGCGCAAACGAACGCTCTGAGATCGTGGTCAATGAATGATAAAAAAATAGGTTATTTTTTGTACGTTATTACAAAGTTAAGTCGTACACTGTGTGCATTACTAATTTGTACGTTATTACAAAATTAAGTCGTACACTGTGTGCATTATCTTACGTTACGGACGTTTTTTTCCGGTTAGGGTACCCCTCCGCATTGTCCCATAAGGAACTTCGTACCAAAAATAATTTAACACGAGGCTTAGCCGTGAGATCATTCACCACGCAACAAGACGGCTTGGATTAATTATCTTTAATATTTGTTCATTTTGTTGCAGGGCTTTCCTAAGAATACTATGCGTGTGCTGCCCAAGGAAACTAAGGAGAAAATACCAGCCACAGTTAAGATTCAAACAGTCACAGGTAAAATATTAATGAACAACATTTTCTTTTTCGTTTGTAAAAGAGGAATATTTATTTGATTTGCATTAGACGAAGCTTCTTATTTAGAAGATCATAGCGTTATTTTACTTTTCAGTTGCGTACGACTCGACGTTATTACTCATCGAGCGAACTGATGGGCATACAGCAGATCAGGCAAAATTCCTGCGAACAAACTTATATATAGCGACTCTCCTTCAGAATTCACCTCCAAATTTCGAAGTGTGCCTTGACATGAATTTGTCGTTTAGTTTCTTCCAAAAGTTTCTTTATTATTCTAAATGAGATTAGTAATCATCGTTCGAGTTTTGTCTGTTGAGAAATTAATTTCGGACAATATTCTATATAATCTAAATGGATTTATTTCATCGTATAAGAAAACAAACTGAGGTACGTTAAGTGTGATTGTGGTCCTCACTTATTGCACTTTGAATGATGTGTTCCTTTCCTGATCCGTCCTTAATGTCTGTTGTCTGACAATAATCTTATAATCTCTTCCTTTGCTGTAAACATTAAACCGCATCAGATAATTTTCGCCTTTCGAAATACTTTGATCACAAACATGCCCTACTGTTATTATTTGTTATTTATCATACGTGACCGATTTCGCATGTTCTGTTCATTGTTTGCACACGCTTATCTTATTACTTCTGGTATTTCGTTGAGCTAATTAGATGAATAATAAAATACAGGATTTTTTTTATTTATGTAGTTATGATACGTAAAATAAACTTAAGTGTTATGCACCTAAATTTAAAATTGTACTTACGAGTTTGAACAGTAAAAATCATTTGCATTTCATTCTTTAAATTTCAAAAATAAAAAACATAAAATTGGTGAGTTTTACGTGTGTGACGCAATCATTCGTCAAACCACGCATTCGTTGTCTTTAGATTACAATAAGTGGTTCAATACAAAATTAATTTACAGTATCCGGTGGCGACTATGATGTACTCGTCGGTGTCACAGCACGAGATGTGTCGGTTGTGACAGCAAGCCCGCGCGGGGACCTTCAGGGCTCCGCGCGCCAGATGCTCCTGATGCAGGGACCGCCGCTCGCTACGGACCCGCCGCGGCGAGGGGCACCAGTGCAACGACAACTGCCGCAGTCGTCTCAGAACCATGGACACTTCGTTCGACGAGCCCATTCAATGCCTCGACCGACATTTGTGCTCCGACAACACTCCCTACTGTCAGGATTCAGAATCTGTCAGCGAAATCAGTCTAGACAGCGATAGTAGGAATCCTTCCATAAAACGTAACACCAGCAAAAAGAAAGTCACATACCAAACTAAAGCGGAAGTCATTCCGTGTTAAAATTAGGTTAAAATAAAGGTTCCATGTATGTAGGTAATTATTTCTAGTCGAAATGCATTTAATCTATCTAGTCGTGAGTGATTTTCAATCAGAAGCTGTGATTTATCGTGTAGCTGTAAATATGTAATACAATTTGTAAATATGTACTACTGTTTTAAATTAATTTCGAGCTCGAAGCTGATGAGAGCTGAGTTTGAGCATCAATTGAAAGTGGGAACGTATGCGCTTCACAATATGTACGTATTAGAAACAGACCAGTGACTTTGCTACTTTGACTTTGAGATACTCATTATTCTATATTTCGCGACCATCGGTGATGGGAAAAAAAAATCCATTACCATTGTTAAAACAATATGTCTTCTTTGTTATATGACTCTTGTCAGAGCGGTCGTGGTCGTCATTAAGTATCATTGCTGTGGGCTGACGTTATATGCCTCACGAGCAATCGACTCTTTTCCCGGTTTGTAGTGAGGTAGTAGTTCCCGGTAGTAGTTCCCTGGTACACTCATGAAAACAATCGCCAACTGCCTAATTGACTTGGTCGGTCCATCGCATGGGCAAGCTTCCACGCTGTCTGGTGGTAAACAATATAACAGAAAACTAATTCAAAAGCTATAAAAATTAAAATTAGCTTACCCTATTGAGAATGTTTTTTTTTATTCTTCAAATTTTTACAAAGTTTTACCTTGAAACTAGCTTTCACAATCAAGTCGTAAATATTAATTTGTGAACTACAAGGTCATATTTCCTCTCATATATCCTTTTGTCAATGTTGTTTGTCATGTTTTTTTTTTAATTGTTTTCAGCATAATGAATGCAGTAAATACGTTGTATCACTTTTGACTTTTACTTGATATGATAACAATTTAACTCACAATTACACCGAGTAAAGTGTCAAGAAAATGTAATTAACGCGCCTAAAATTCTTAACCATTCCGCAGAAAACGAAATTATCTATATACTTTCCATACAACCCGTATAGGTATGAGTTGTAGTAGAAATCCAAATGTAATATTATAACTTTAAAAAAATATACCAGTCAGTAATTTTAATATGTAAATATAGACGTTATATTGTAGGATTTAAATGTGTGTATGTAATTCGTAAATGATGTAAGTAGCAAAACATTTTTCTAGTCACTCCCAAAGCAACATTTAAAGTATTCTATAATAATAATAGTTAAATTTTTAAAAAAATCCTCTATTTAAAATTAAAATCAAACTATACTCTGTTACAAGACTTATTTATAAACGTTTTAAATAAAAAATAAAACTATAACTAATTACAATATTAAAATAATAGATTGATTATTACTTCACGATAGTAAGTAACAAAAATAAGGATTCCAAATTTATGTAACCTAAGTAGGTAGATAAGTAGCTATCGTCAAAGTATAATATAAATTTGCAAGACCTAATGAATGTACAAGACTTAGTCAATCGGTAGTTAAACCAGAGTTATTCATTGTCTTAATTCATAATTGCTTCTTCTTCTTTGCCTTATTCAACAATACTCTGTATCATCGATGTGCAAGACAAATAAATACTCAACGCACGTGTGAAGTAATAACACATCAACGATGTTCCGATGGGATTGAGATTTTTGTAGTCTCTCATATGAGTGACGTCACGAAAAAAACTGGCTCATTTTTCCCTAAATTGTTCTCATTTTTTGTTTTCATAAAGAATTATTCCTTTTCACTTTCGCAATTATGAATGGCGTACAGCATAAAATAAACTTACATGTCGAGCCTAATATTGTTCCTTCCCGAAAAGTTAATAAAATAATGTTCGGTAAATTTCCTTTATGTTGTATATATGTACTATCCATATGATACTGTATTCTGATACATTTACGATCAATGTTTGTAACAATGTGATTAGTTTAATAACGCGTAGGAAGTAGTAGAACGGTAGGCAGCGGCTTGGCTCTGCCCTGGCATTGCTGAAGTACATGGGCGACGGTAACTACTCACCATCAGGTGGGCCGTATGCTCGTATGCCTACAAGGGCAATAAAAAAAAAGCTGAAATCCATTTAGTACGAGTCTTTTATTTTGAAAACATGGTGTGTTTTTACTGTAAAAAATATGAAATGTATAATTTTTTTTTTTAAAAAGAGCATGAGTTCACATTATGTTTTTTTGGTCACACCGCAAGTGAGATTGTCACAGTGAAAATCCAAGACAATTGCTTAAATGCAAACTGACTTACACACCGCCAAATTGAGATAAGTGTACGCTTTTTTTTTCCTACCTAAGCTGATAGCCTTGAGTGGCTATTTCAGCGTAACCTTAACTAGTAGGTGAGCTTACGGGGCTCAAACCGGAGTGATGCTATCACTGACCCTAGCAAGAGCAGTGCTTCGCAGAATCTACCACCGGTTCGGAAACACGACCCACTGAGACGATCCGGCAAGAAACTCAGTGGACAGTGTACGCATAGTATCAACCATCATATACAAGCCTTAGTGGTTTTTGTGGGGCTTAATTTATATTTATATCCCTTAAATTTTTATTTGCTTGATTATAATAAAGTGACATTAATTAGTAATTACTGAACCTCAAATTTTGTAAGCCCTCAAGCATTACTTTTTCCACTAAGTAAAAATATATTGATATAACTATTTATGATTGACTTATTGTTTATATGTTGTTTTCCGTTCATGTTGATATGTTGTTGGAACAGTTACGACTTTAGGGGCTATTTCGTTACACTCTATCCTTATGTAGCATAAATATATTGTAAAATTTCTCTATAGCCTTACAAACTGAATCTCATTCGCGTTCCATTTGTGCTAAATGTATGTTTTTTTTTTATTGCTTAGGAGGGTGGACGAGCTCACGGCCCACCTGGTCTTAAGTGGTTACCGGAGCTCATACTGTTATCGCCAACAGGTATTTACTACTATACTACGTGATTTGTACTCCCGGGCTGGTAGATACCGCCTGTCTGCCATCTTTTGGGACACAGCTTTGATGCATTCCCGTTTGGAAGGTGGGACAGGCTGTGATGTCCATGGGCTCCTGTAAGGCCGTAACGCCTGGTGGGCCATGAGATTACTCTTTTTTTTTTATTGCTTAGTTGGGTGGACGAGCCCACCTGATGATAAGTTATTACTGGAGCCCATAGACATCTACAACGCAAATGCCGCCACCCACCTTGAGATATGAGTTTTAAGATCTCAGTATAGTTACAACGGCTGCCCCGCCGTTCAAACCGTAACTGTTTCCAGAAATAGGCAGGGTAGTGGTACCTACCCGTGCGGACTCAGAAGACGTGCTACCACCAGTATTAATAATCATTATATTAGTAATTAATAATCATTACAAATTTTTTTTCAAATAAAGTTGGTTTTGCTATTTTGAATACCGAGTTTACTATTCTGTCTATAGTCTATTGCTTTAGAATTGTTGATAAAATTATAACGATTTCAATACCGGTGTGCCTGTCTTTACTTATGTAGCAGTAAGTAGTCTTGTACATAGTCCTCTGAGCAGTACTTTTTATTACAGATATGTAGTTATGAGATTCTAATATGTATTTTCTCTCTGTAAACTGTTTATTTGTAAACACTTTAAACCTGTGTAAATCATGAATGGATTATTGTATAAAATTTATAAAAATATTTTTTCAATTCACTTTGTTTCTTTTCGTTTCATTTTAATATTATATTTTTATTTTATTTTGATTAAGGCTAAGTTCACATGACCACGCGGTACCGCGCGGAACTGCTCACCGCGCGGTAAAAGATCAATTTAAGCAGTATTTATTGTACACATAATAGCGCGCTGCCGCGCGGTAACGCGCGGTGCGCTGCGACCAGCGCGCAGGTTCAAGTTCTGCAAAACTCTATCTACCTGTTCAGCTGA